AGCACCCTTACACATACACACACTAACAGCACCCTCACACACACAGCACCCTTACACACAGCACACACTAACAACACCCTTACACACACACACTAACAACACCCTCACACTAACAACACCCTTACACACACAACACCCTTACACATAGACACACACACAGCACACACTAACAGCACCCTTACACACAGCACCCTCACACACAGCACCCTTACACACACACAGCACACACTAACAGCACCTTTACACTCACATCACCCTTACACATACACACACTAACAGCACCCTCACACACACACAGCACACACTAACAGCACCCTTACACACACAGCACCCTCACACGCACACACAAAGCACACACTAACAGCACCCTTACACATACACACATACAGCACACACTAACAGCACCCTTACACACACAACACCTTCACACACACACAGCACCTTCGCACACACAGCGCCCACACACACACAACACCCTCATACATACACACACACAGCACACACTAACCACACCCTTACACATACAGCACCCTCACACATACACACACACATAGCACACACTAACAGCACCCTTACACACACAGCACCCTTACATACAGCACCCTTACACATACACACACTAACAGCACCCTCACACACACAGCACCCTTACACACAGCACACACTAACAACACCCTTACACACACACACACACACACTAACAGCACCCTCACACACACAGCTTCACAAGCCACAGCACACATTTAAACACCACCCTATATACACACACACATATTACTTACTTACATACTAATAGGCACCTCACACTAACAGCACCCTTACACACAGCACCCTCACACTAACAACACCCTTACACACACACACACACACACAGCACACACTAACAGCACCCTTACACACACATCACCCTTACACATACACACACTAACAGCACCCTCACACACACACACAGCACACACTAACATCACCCTTACACACACAGCACCCTCACACACACAACACCCTCATACATACACACACAGCACACACTAACCACACCCTTACACATACAGCACCCTCACACATACACACACACACATAGCACACACTAACAGCACCCTTACACACACAGCACCCTTACACACAGCACCCTTACACATACACAGCACACACTAACAGCACCCTTACACACACATCACCCTTACACATACACACACTAACAGCACCCTCACACACACACAGCACACAGTAACAGCACCCTTACACACACAGCACCCTCACCCACACACACAAAGCACACACTAACAGCACCCTTACACATACACACATACAGCACACACTAACAGCACCCTTACACACACAACACCTTCACACACACACAGCGCCTTCACACACACAGCGCCCACACACACACAACACCCTCATACATACACACACACAGCACACACTAACCACACCCTTACACATACAGCACCATCACACATACACACACACATAGCACACACTAACAGCACCCTTACACACACAGCACCCTTACACACAGCACCCTTACACATACACACACTAACAGCACCCTCACACACACAGCACCCTTACACACAGCACACACTAACAACACCCTTACACACACAGCACCCTCACACACACTCACACACACACACACACACAGCGCCTTCACACACACATCACCCTTACACATACGCACACTAACACCCTTACACACACTAACAGCACCCTCACACATACACACACAGCACCCTTACACACAACACCTTTACACACACAGCACCCTCACCCACACACACAAAGCACACACTAACAGCACCCTTGCACATACACACATACAGCACACACAACACCTTCACACACACACAGCGCCTTCACACACAGCGCGCCCACACACACAGCACGCCCACACACACAGTGCCCACACACACACAGCGCCTGCACACACACACAGCGCTTTCACACACAGCACCTACACACACACACACACAGCACCTACACACAGCACCCTCACACACACACAGCAGAAATTAGGTCACAAGCAGAGGTTCGGTACACAGGCAAAATTAGTTAGTTATTGAGCTCAAACGTCAGTATTAAATCACTGGAAACAAATTGAGTGAGCCATTCAATAGAGCTGCGAGTCTGACTAAAAAGGCAGGCGTCTGACATTAGATGCAGATGCGGGGATATCGGTGATACCCAGAAGTGCTGCAATGGGATCGCTGATCAGATTATTATTCTTTTAAACCACTCTTATACTTATACCACTCACCCATTACAACATATTTTAAAAGCCATCCCTAGCTATGTTTTTTTTTAAATTTCATCTCACTTTGCTGATTTTACTGGCCATTTTGCATTAATTGCATTAATGGTCTGGGGTAACCAGATTTTAACATACAATACCAAGATCGGTTACCTTAAATATCTGATGCAAGTATGCTCATCTGCACTATCTTTTCAATCCCTTGCTCAACACAACCAGTATACATTTAAAAATTAATAGCTATAAAAGTTATTTTTAAAAAGTATAAACTTTCTCCTAATTTTATACTATGTTTTATGGTTGCCATATCGACCCATTTAAACACAAATAGAGTGTTCTGCACATCAATTAAATATTGTATTTTACATACTTGGAGTAACTTATTTAATTTGTATTATAGCATTCTTTTTTTGTGATAATCTTTATTAAAAGTTTTTTACATTTTATGCAAGACAAAATAGAAAGGCTTGTAACAATGTGCAATACACAATCTGCAATACACATGTTATGAATGCTGGTATTTCATTCCCCGTTGATATAGTTCCTCCTGAACTGCTAGGTATTTAGTGATTATAGCTTGCAGTTCGGGCATTGATTCCTACGTTCCCAGGAATCAAAGTGCAAGGGGTCTTCGTCCCAAACAGACAGGGGTTATATCCCAGGATCCTCCCCACCTGTGAGCCAAAGGCGGGAAAAGAGGTCGCTGTCCCTTTGTCTCCCAAATAGGGAAAGCCCCCGCCCCCCAGGCCAGGGGTCTCTCACACAAAACAACAGAGGGCTTCTTCATCACATGAGCCTATGTGCCTGGGAGCCAAAGCGCAGGAAAATAGGTTGCCCCTTTGTCTCCTGGGCACAGAAAAGCCCACCAAACTAGCTAGTGTTCCCAGAAGTGTCCCCACCAACCGCAGAAGTCCCCAACGCGGCATTTACCCTGACCCTTCCTCGTTCGCGTAGCTCAGGTGCTGAAATCTGCAAGGGAAGCGGATCCTTTCGGGCCACAAATGCTTTCCCTGGTTGGCGTTTGTTTATACGAAATGGCGGCCACCCAGGGGAGCATTAAGCTTTCATGTATTATTTTTATTATTTTTATAATTTATATAGCGCCAACAAATTCCATAGCGCTGTACAATGTATGATATTAAAATAGTTTATGAATCTGTTCTATTGAAAATTTACATTACCCAATAGTATCCGACTATGGACAATTGTATTTGTTAACAAACCGACACATAAACAATAAAACAAACGCAAATACAAACTGCTTATCTCTTAATTGCCGAGAGAGGGGGGTATTACAAATAATTAAACATCCCTAGTTAACTATTACAGTGCCTTGCAAAAGTATTCACCCCCCTTGGCATTTTTCTTGTTTTGTTGCCTCACGACCTGGAAATAACATGCATTGTTTGAGGATTTCCATCATTTAATTTACAGAACATGCCCACAACTTTGAAGATGTTTTTTATTTATTTATTTTTTTATTGTGAAACAAATAATAAATAGGACAAACTAATAGAAAAAGTCAATGTGCATAACTATTCACCCCCCTAAAGTTAATACTTTGTAGAGCTGCCTACCTTTTGCGCATTCCTTCTTGCAAAACTGCTCCAGCTCCTTCAAGTTGGATGGTTTGCGCTTGTGAACAGCAATCTTTAAGTCTGACCACAGATTTTCTATTGGATTGAGGTCTGGGCTTTGACTACGCCATTCCAACACATTTACATATTTCCCCTTAAACCACTCAAGTGTTGTTTTAGCAGTGTGTTTGGGGTCATTGTCCTGCTGGAAGGTGAGCCTCTGTCCTAGCCTCAAATCACGCACAGAGTGGTACAGGTTTTGCTCAAGAATATCCCTGTATTTAGCACCATCCATTTTTCCCTCAACTCTGACCAGTTTCCCAGTCCCGGCTGCTGAAAAACATGGTGTTCTTTGGGTGATGTGATGTGTTGGGTTTGCGCCAGACATAGCGTTTTCTTTGATGGACGAAAAGTTAAATTTTAGTCTCATTAGACCAGAGCACATTCCTCCATATATTTTGTGAGTCTCCCATATGCCTTTTTCGCAAACTCAAAACGTGCCATTTTGTTCTTTGCTGAAAGTAATGGCTTTCTTCTGGCAGCTCTGCTCAACTCTATGGAGCGTACGGCTTATTGTCGTCCTATGTACAGATAATCCAGTCTCTGCTGTGGAACTCTGCATCTCCTCCGGGGTTACCTTAGTTTTCTGCCTTAGTTTTTTGCTGCCTCTCTGATTAATGCCCTCCTTGCCCATTTCGTAAGTTTTGGTGGGCGGCTGTCTCTTGGCAGGTTTGCTGTTGTGCCATGTTCTTGTGTGCAGGTAGTGGATACTGTGTAGTGTGACCAACTTTCTTACCAACCAGTTGCCCCCCAATAAAACCGAAACTTATTTGTGGTATAAAACAGGCCACAGCTTTATTTATAAATTAACAAGTATATATTATCAACCAATAAATAACCTTTGATAACCATATCAACATGATATATTTTAAATCGCAGACTCATCCTTGCCAACCACTCCATGACCCAAACCAGATTACTACTGGGTATCTGCCCTCCCCCTTGTCCAAACACCACCTGGCCTCCAACTTGCCCTTAATTTACCACCATCTTCCTGGCTCAGTGGGCACGCCCAAAAATCCAAACATTTTCCTGAGGTTAGGGGAAGGACCAGATCCAACTTTCCTTGTTCCCCTCATAGTCTTCCTCTAGTCTGGTTTGGCAAGGACCATACCCATCAGCTCCGACAAGAGAAAATAATTAATAACATATAACATAACAGCAACAAGGGAGGGTGGGTAGGAAGCTGTTACCAAGCTGTTATTTCTAAGATGGCTGAGGTCAAAGGGCAAAATGCCTGCCTATTTATATGGCCCAACCCCTTATCCATTTCCTTGAACACTCCCCTATTTTACACCTACACTCACACATGCCTCTTATCCGGCTAGCTTTCTGCCCGCCTACTCAGGGCTTTTCCATTTGGTTATGATAGATTTGATGGTGCTCATGGGGATCATCAAAGATTTGGATATTTTTTTATAACCTACCCATGACTTGTACTTCTCAACAACATTGTCCCTTACTTGTTTGGAGAGTTCCTTGGTCTTCATGGCAGTGTTTGGCTAGTAGTGCCTCTAGCTTAGGTGTTGCAGTCTCTGGGGCCTTTCAAAAAAAGTGTGTATATGTAATGACAGATCATGTGGCACTTAGATTGCACACAGGTGGACATCATTTCACTAATTATGTGACTTCTGAAGGCATAGGCATGCGCAGCCTATTGCATTAGGGTGTGCACCCTAAAGCACAAGCACACGCCGCATATATGTATATATATATATATATATATATATATATACATACACACACACATACACATATATACACACACTGCTGTGTGTGTGTGTGTGTGCTGTGTGAGGGTGCCGTTAGTGTGATGTGTGTGTGACGGTGCTGGTAGTGTGCTATGTGGGTGAGGGTGTTTGTGTGTGCGTGCTTGTGAGGATGCTGTTAATGTACTGTGTGTGAGGGTGCGGTTTGTGTGTGTTTGTGTGCGCTTGTGAGGGTGCTGTTAATGTACTGTGTATGAGGGTGCTGTTTGTGTGTGAGGGTACTGGTAGTGTGCTGTGTGTGTTAGGGTCCTGTTTGTGTTTGTGAGGGTACTGTTAGTGTGCTGTGTGTGTGTGAGGGTGCTGTTTGTGTGTTTGTGAGGGTGCTGTATGTGTGTGTGGGTGCTGTATGTGTGTTGGTGCTGTATGTGTGTGGGTGCTGTGGGTGCTGTGTCTGTGGGTGCTGTGTCTGTGGGTGCTGTATGTGTGTGGGTAATGTGTATGTGTGTGGATACTGTATGCCTGTGGGTGCTGTATGTGTGTGGGTGCTGTGTATGTCTGTGGGTGCTGTATGTGTGTGGGTGCTGTATGTCTGTGGGTGCTGAATGTGTGTGGGTGCTGAATGTGTGTGTGTGCTGAATGTGTGTCTGTGGGTGCTGAATGTGTGTGGGTGCTGTATGTGTGTGTGCTGTATGTCTGTGGGTACCGTGTATGTCTGTGGGTGCTGTGTATGTCTGTGGGTGCTATATGTGTGTGGGTGCTGTGTATGTCTGTGGGTGCTGTGTATGTCTGTGGGTGCTGTATGTGTGTGGGTGCTGTGTGGGTGCTGAATGTGTGTGGGTGCTGAATGTGTGTGGGTGCTGTATGTGTGGGTGCTGTATGTGTGTGGGTGCTGAATGTGTGTGGGTGCTGAATGTGTGGGTGCTGTATGTGTGTGGGTGGGTGATTGTGGGGGTGGAGGTGGGGGTACATTATTTGCTATCCCCCCTCCCTTCTTACCTTTTGTAGGGAGGGGGGATCGTGCTGCTGCTTCCTTCCCTGGTGGTCCAGTGGAGGATGGGATCCTTGTTGCTGCTGTGATCCCTGGTGGTCCAGTGGAGAGTGAACTTTAGCCCCCTGTGGGGCTAGAGTTCACTCTCGCGAGATTTGAGCGTTGCCGTGGCAACGCTCATATCTCGCGAGAGGAACCCGGCGGAGCTGCCGGCAATAGCTCCGCCGGTCCTCTCCTGCCTTCCTCCCTGCATGTGGGTCAGTGGGGAGGGAGGCTGAGAGCAGAGCCGGCGCTCGGATAGCGCCGGCTCTGCATGAGCCGACAGGGGAGATCCTGAGATCTCCCCTGCCGGTCTCAATACACATAGGCGTGCCGCGGGGATTAGGGTGTGCCCAGGCACACCCGGCACACCCCGTGCGCACGCCTATGTCTGAAGGTAATCGGTTGCACCAGAGCTTTTTATGGGCTTCGTAACAAAGGGGGTGAATACATACGCACATGACAGTTTTCTGGTTTTCGATTTCTAAAAAAATGTTTTATGTATATATTTTTCTCATTTCATTTCACCAACTTAGACTATTGTGTTCTGATCCATCACATGAAATTCAGATTACTAAAACATTGAACTTAAGGCTGTAATGTAACAAAATAGGTAAAATGTCAAAGGGGGGGGGGGGGTGAATACTTTCATTAGTCCCTGGCCTTATCTTATAGTTAGGATAGCTTTTTGCCTATCCCACGCATGCTTAAACTCCTTTACTGTGTTAACCTCTACCACTTCAGCTGGAAGGCTATTCCATGCATCCACTACCCTCTCAGTAAAGTAATACTTCCTGATATTATTTTTAAACCTTTGTCCCTCTAATTTAAGACTATGTCCCCTTGTTGTGGTAGTTTTTCTTCTTTTAAATATAGTCTCCTCCTTTACTGTGTTGATTCCCTTTATGTATTTAAATGTTTCTATCATATCCCCCCGTCTCGTCTTTCCTCCAAGCTATACATGTTAAGATCCTTTAACCTTTCCTGGTAAGTTTTGTCCCGCAATCCATGAACCAGTTTAGTAGCCCTTCTCTGACCCCTCTCTAAGGTATCAATATCCTTCTGAAGATACGGTCTCCAGTACTGTGTACAATACTCCAAGTGAGGTCTCACCAGTGTTCTGTACAATGGCATGAGCACTTCCCTCTTCCAACTGCTAATACCTCTCCCTATACAACCAAGCATTCTGCTAGCATTTCCTGCTGCTCTATTACATTGTCTGCCTACCTTTTAAGTCATCAGAAATAATCACCCCTAAATCCCTTTCCTCAGATGTTGAGGTTAGGACTCTATCAAATATTCTGTACTCTGTCCTTGGGTTTTTACATCCAAGATGCATTATCTTGCACTTATCCACATTAAATGTCAGTTGCCACAATTCTGACCATTTTCTAGTTTACCTAAATCATTTGCCATTTGGCTTATCCCTCCTGGAACATCAACCCTGTTACATATCTTAGTATCATCAGCAAAAAGACATACCTTTCCATCAAGACCTTCTGCAATATCACTAATAAAAATATTAAAGAGAATGGATCCAAGTACAGATCCTTGAGGTACCCCACTGGTGACAAGTCCAAGTTTCGAATATATTCCATTGACTACAACCCTCTGTTGCCTGTCACTCAGCCACTGCCTTACCCATTCAACAATATTGGAATCCAAGCTTAAAGATTGCAGCTTATTGATAAGCCTTCTATGTGCAACAGTGTCAAAAGCCTTACTGAAATCTAGGTAAGCAATGTCTACTGCACCACCCTGATCTATAATGTTAGTTACCCAATCAAAAAAATCAATAAGATTAGTTTGGCATGATCTCCCTGAAGTAAACCCATGTTGTCTCTGATCTTGAAATCCATGTGTTTTTAGATTTTTAACAATCCTATCCTTTTAACATGGTTTCCATCACTTTCCCTTAATTACTGAAGTAAGGCTTACTGGCCTATAGTTGTCCTCACTCCTCCTAAGTATTAATACCTTCTTGTAAATGGGCACAACATTCAAGTAATCCTCCAATCTTCGACTACTCCCTGAGCACAATAATTGCTTAAATTAAATCTGTTAATGGTTTTGCTAGTACACCACTAAGCCTTTTACGGTGTATTCCATCAGGTCCCATTGACTTATTTGTCTTTACTTTTGACAGTTGAAATAGAACCTCTTCCTCTGTAAACTCACGTGTAATAAATGACTCATTTATTATGCGTCCATCAAGTTCAGCCTTCCTCACAAATGTTGTTGCTGTTGATCCAAAAGAAGGCAAAAAACCTGGTCTGAAGCGCTTCCAATTTTGCCACAAACTAGGAAAACAATTCCTTCTTGACCCCAAAATAGCAGTCAGATGTCTCCTTGGATCAAGCAGCTATTACCCCACTAATTAGAAATTATATCCCTGTATGTTACCTTCCTTCTTTTGTTTTTAATCTAACTAATCCCTGTTTTACTTTTCTTTTCTCATTTATGTATCTAAAAAATGTTTTGTCACCCTTTTTTTACTGACTGTGCTATTTTCTCTTCTGTGTGTGATTTGGAAGCTCTTATAACTTGCTTAGTCTCTTTCTGCCTAATCTTATAGATCATTTTGTCTTCCTCACTCTGGTTTTTTTTTATAATTCCTAAATGCTAACTTTTTGTTTTTAACTATTTTGGCCACATCTGCGGAGTACCACAGTGGTTTCTTGAATTTTTGCTTTTACTGACAAGCCTAATGCAATTTTCTGTTGCCTTCAATAGTGCAACTTTTAAATAATCCCATTTCTCTTGGACTCCATTTAAATTGCTCCAGTCTGATAATGACTCCTCTACACATATTCTTA